CGATCACATCAAGTATAGTGTACTCCCAGAATAAAATTAACAAAAAATCTTAACACCGTTTCTGTTTTTAAATTTTTTTTTTAGTTAAGTTTAAATTAAAATTCACTGAAATTAAAAATTCAGTTTCTTAGTTGCATTAGTCCCATTTCAAGGGCTCAGAAGTGACAAGCTGGTTAATGACGGGGCACAGCTCGGAGGGAGCTCACAGTCAGCCCTCCACACTCCTCCGGGAGAAATTCTACTAAGCCGAACTCTTCTGTTTTGCAAATTTCTTCCTGAGGATACAACGGGAGCATTAAGTCTTCCAAACTTCACTAGGTAGTTATTTATGCCGCTAGCAATTATTTGTAAAAAGCTACTACAGTGACCTGCAAGCACGAGTGTGACTCTGAATGCCTAATGGGGCTCTTAATGACTGACAGGACCTTGACGGTCCCTCAGCACTTGTCTAGTCCAAACGCCACACAATTACCAGACTTTTGCAAAGGTCATCGGAAGAATGCAGGAGAAAACAGGGGGCTTAGGTGATGGGGAAGCACTATCTGTTCCAACAAAGGACATGAATTAAGCTGAGCTGGGAAACTATCTCAGGACTTTCAGATGCATGCGTTTGAGGACGCACAATACCCGTTGTTGTTGCCAGCCGCCAGGCGGCAATCCGGACCTCTTAGAGAAAAACTGTAATTAGTGTACATATCCTACTTCACGCTCTTAAGATCTGTACAGAAATCTTTTATTTTCCTTAATGTAAATCTTTTCAATTAACTTGTTAAATGAATATGTAAGGACAAGGGTTACCTGCTGAGCCTTCACATTAAGATTTGAGAAGGAAAGATCACTGTGCCATAGGATTCCAAATCCAGATAAAGAGAGGTATGACGCAATCGAAGTAATACTAATGATGACGCTTACCATTTACTGTGCACTTTCCATGTGCTCGACATTTCTGCAAGTACTTGTGTCTATTATCTCATTTACTCACACCAAGCTGCAACGTTGGTAGTATAATAATAATCCCCTTTTGAAGCAAGGACACTGAAGCACAAAGACCCCCATCTCCTGGATGACCATGAGATCCAACCCAGGTGCATGTCACAGAAGCACTCAAGTAACACAGGCTTTACTTCAGAATAAGCTAGGCTTCTGCTCTTGACTAGCTGCAGAGAGTAGCTTGGACCTGGCCACCTAGCCTCACTGTGCCACCCCTATCAGGAATAACTGGGACACTAAGACTAGCCTCACAGAGTTGTTTTCTGTAGGAGAAAAAAAAAGTATGTAATGCCCCTTAAAAATACAAAGGACAACCAGGGATGAGTTATTAAAACTGTTAACAAGTTCAACTCCTGTTGTGATGTCAAATGAACACGAGAAGCCTCTAATTTTTAGGCTTCTGGGTCTAACTACTATATAAAAAATAGAAGGCGAGGTCATAATTTATTTATGTACAGACAACTGCATGGCAACATCAAAGAGTAGTGAGTATAAGACGGTTTCAGCTGTGTCATCTCCCCTCAAGGGTTTTCTAGAAGGTCTTCCTTCCCTTTACCATTCTACTCCTTAAGGCCAGTTACTCAGGGGTAGCTATTACAAAAGCAACATTTCAGTCCTGAAAGACTAAAAGTAGGGGTAGGATTGGGAAGAGGACAGGTTGCAGGATCAGCTCAGTTCATGTTTGGATGTGGCCTTGTACTAATACACTTCTATTCCCCAAACTCTTTGTTTGTTCAACTTGCCTGTGGACGCTGCTTCTTTTCCAGAGCCAGAACCCCAGAGTAAGCAATTCTGCCATGAGTGAAGGAGTCTGTCTGGGAAGGAGTTCAATGAGATGGCTTATCTATTCGCATCACTACCGGGAATCTGGCAGAAAGGCTGCAGGGTCCCACAGGGGAGACCAGGGCAGCAGGAAGCCCTCTGTGATCCCAGGGCACTCATGAGGTCTTGCCACGGACTGGTTTTCTGTCTCTGGAGACTTCAGTGCCCAAGATGAGGGACATGCACAGGGAAGACCACAGGAGAATGTTTACAGCAAAGAGCAAAAAGGGGCATGAATGTTCATGCCACTACAAAGCTGGAATTCAAGGAGGGTTTCTTTTTTTTTCAGGTATGCCCAAGAAATCTGAGCCCCCCCACATCAAACATCCCTGACCAAGAAGAGACACAATCGTGGTAACAATAAGCACAGCCACTGTTGTTTGTTGAAGGTGTGCAGGTGGCTCGCTCTCGGGCTGGTTCTTTTCTGGCTTAACTGTAAGAGCGCCAGGGTCAGGGTCCACTCCGTTCTACTGATGAGGAAACTGAAGCACATGCCACTGGAATATCCCGCAGCTTTGACTCTCGAGGCCTCGGTTCTCTGCCTGCAAGACAGGGATCGTGTCCACCTCACAGGGCAGAATCAGGAGCGCATAGGAGTCCATCAGTGTGTTGAAGCACGAGCACCCTGGCCAGCACTGGGGAGAGCCCGAGAGATCGCAGCTGCCACCACTGGTATTGTTAGCTGCCCCCTCTGTTGGCTTGGGGCTCACAAGCAAAACACACGGGGGAGGACAAAAGGGAGGATATTGTCTGTTTTTCTTCTCTGGGGTGAATACTGCTCATCACTAGGCTTGGAAGCCAAGGATGAGACTGTAACAGCTGAATAAAGGCCATAAGAGTGAATCAATCTTAGAGGAGGGCCCGAAGAAACAAACTCCCTCTGTGCCTCCTTGGAGAAGAAAACGAGCCATCCAGCCAGCAAAGCTGCAACTTCTGGCTCCTCCTCCCTCCCTTCCCATCAGGGGAATGAATACAGTGGCAGATGCTTTCTCTTATAACACTGGAACAGCAGGAAGTGCGAGTTTGAGCACAAGTGCTATCAGGATGGGGCCAAGAGAAAGAGGACATCTCCCCTCCTTTGAAAAGGGGGCTGAAAGCATTCTTCTTAAATGGCTAACAAAAGTGGCACAGATTCGAGTTATCAATACAGATCCTCAGTACACGTGCCGATGCCTAGTTAGCTAAGCCTCTCCCACACCTCTCTGCCCCCCATCCTTCTCTCTGCCTCCAGCCCGTCCCTCTTCTGATTCACGGGCCATAATAACTTCCTGTCCACATCCAGCTCACGTGTCTTGCCCTTTTCAAAGCCTTCTGTGATTTTGAGCTCTGTACGTAAAACCTGAAACGGCACATGTGGGCACTGCAGGACTCTCTACAGTCAGCCCCAGATTAACCTTTTCACCCCTAGTGACCCGGAGCCTAGCTCCTACCTGCACCCTTCCTCAGGCTTCCAACAGAAGCGTGAGCCAAAGAAATCTGACTGACTTAAAACAACAACAACAACAACAACAACTAGTTAAAACGCTCCCTCCTCCAGGATGTCCCCTCTGAGTACCCCAGTTGGAAATAATATTTTCTCCTCTGTACTGTCACAGAGCTGTCACACGTCATCACAAGCTCGTATAAATACCAAGCTCCTGGGGGCAGGAACAGGCTCGCCCTCACTTTACTGAGCAACTACTACTACATGGACACTAGGCACGATGCCAGACACCAGAGTTATAAATATGAATAAAAACATTTTTTGTCCCTGCCCTAGAAAAAGTCATACCTTAAGCAGAGGGGACACAGATGTAAAGTAATTTATGCTCATGGATATGAAACATGTACAATCTAGGTTTACAAAGAGCAAAGGGATTGATTGGGAGGAGGGCTATTTGAAAAGCAAAAGTCCTTCAAGAAGAGACAACACATTTGCTGTATTATCTTGGTGTTATCTTGGTATTATCTTGCTGTATTATCTATTAATTTCATGCCCTGGAAGTTCCTAGGGTGTGTAAGTACCTAATAAATATTTGTGGAATGAGTAAGTATTCATTTAGGCTCAGGATTCAGTATTTTAACTGAATACCTAAGGCATCTGGGATCAAAGAATTCTAATTATTTAAATGATTAAATAACAAAGATACCATGTTTGATTATCAGTTATGACCCAACTACTAGCCACAGAAAAATTATTTAAAATCACTTCATAGTTACCAATACTTCAAATTATTCCTTGGGTGCTCTTTAAAAACAATGTATCACACCTTAAAAACTATAAACACCTCCCCCTTCAAGTTAACAATATAATTGATTTTTTGTGGGAATCAACAAGATAGTATCTTCAAATATCCACCAAAGAATCTTGCAACCTGAGTAACACATCAGTCAACATAAATGCTAAGTGTATGTTCTTACAGGACAACAGTTATGTCCCTCAGACTGACGGTCAAACACGGCAACTTTACTTGGCCCCCATATTCTGACTTTTTTCAAAGCATCAATCTATTACCATAAGGTCTTAACCTCTTCAACTATTCTATACGCAGTACTCAGACTTCTTCACGAAGTCCCAGCAGAAATGGCAGTAAAGACCCAGAGAGATATGGTACATGACCTTTAACTTCATCTTGAAAATTTGAAACAATGTGTAGTTTATCTTGTGAGGACAGGTTCTTTGCAGGGGTAGGCCTGAGAAATGGTAACTATCAGCAGGGGGAGGATTAGGGCATCAAAAGACACTGAACTCTGTGTTAAGTGAACTGGACCCGACACTCTACCGGAATAAATGAAATGTACTCGGCCTTCTCGTTTCTGGAGATTTCATCACTTTCTTTATCACTCCCTTCTAGTTCGGAGTAAAAGGTGTGAATACGCTGTCATCTGAGGAGACGGGGGCTTCCCTACAAAGAGCAAGGGAAGGACCCATGGAGAGCCCCCTGATCTGCGGTTTCATTTTCCACCACTTTCAGTGACCTGCAGTCAAACAAGGTCAAGAAGCAGATGATCCTCTCTTGATGTATTGTCACAGGGTCAACAGCAGCCATAGCAAGGCCTACGTCATTCATTTCATCTCATTACGCAAGCATTTTATCATCTGACGTCTTTGCAAGAAAAGTGAGTATAGTATAGTATTTTCAGAGACCATGTTCATAACTTTTATTACATTACATTGTTATAATTGTTCTATTTTATCATGCTGTTGTTAAATCTCTTACTGTGCCTAAATAATAAATTAAACTTTGTCCCAGGTATGTAGGTATAGGAAAATCATAGTATATATACGGTTTAGCACTATCTTGGGTTCAGGCATCCACTAGGGGTCCTGAACTTATCCCCACGGAAAATAAGGGATTACTGTAATATCCTTAGCTTTCCTGGGAACAGTAACGTCCTAGCTTCAAACTAGCTGTAGAAGTTGGCAGATCACCGTGGTTCCAATGAGGCTGGGACTACCCCCGAGGAGCAACTGATCCTGGATGGGGATGAGGGATGGGTTTTCTAGTTGTCACAGTGGTGCTGAATATCCTGGAATGTGGGACAGTCCTCCACCCCAAAGAGAAGTCCAGCCCCTGTACCAGCAGCACTCACTACTTCCGATAAACACTGAGCAAGATCCATAAGGTAGGGACACTGTCTTAATTCATCTTTGTAAAGGAGTCCCTCACTCTTGAGCACCTAACACAACACTCACAGTCATTAGACAAGAAAAGAAGAAATGGAATGAAGGAGGAAAGCAGGGAGGGGAGGACAGAGATTATGGGCATTCTAAACTCCTGTTCTGCCATCGTGAGGGACATGGCCCTGGACAAGTTACTTAATTAACCTTTGAATAGGTTTCCTCGTCTGTAAAATGGAGGTAATGGCTCTTATCACCATAGATTTATTGTCAAGATCAAATAAGAGAACATGCCCAAGACCTACTACAGTGCTAGCAGGTGTTCAGTGATCGTTAGCTTCTTTTCCTTTCCTTCCCTACGAAATCGCTAGCAGTCTATTCAGATGCCTTGTAATATCAAAAGGCTGACTCTTTTTCACAACACCAGAAGTGAGTTAGTGAGTTGGTAAAAGGTGAACTGCAAAGAATAATTGTCCTCCCCTCTCCCCCCGACCCATTACCACCTTCACCAGCAATGCTGAAGAAAGGGAGAAGGATGAGCCATCTAGGGGAGTCATTTCTATTCCTATCTCTCTGCGCAAGAAAAGGCTTTATTTATCAGGATCAATGAGAAAAGATGTGAGGTTCCCCAGCTCTCAAGATACTTTCCCCCTCCTTTCTGAACTCCCCAAGTTCAGGACCCAGAGGCCAAAGTCCTTCAGCAACACCAGGAGCAACCCTAAGCGTAATCTATCCTGCCCTTGCATCCCAGGGACACCTCAAAGGGGAAGGGAGCACATGACCTAGCAACAATGGGGGCACTCCCCCAAACTGGGTACTCCCTGAGTGGAGACTGTGTCTGTCCTCCACAGGAATTTCTAAGATTACATTATGACTGAATTGCCCAGTGGTCACATATGTGCACTCAGCTAACTAGAAGGGGTACAAGGGGTGCTGGGGGGTGGGAGGGAGAGCCCTTCTCTCAGGGCTGCCAGCTCCTGATGTGGTGCCAACTTCTGGAGGCCAGTGGCCTCCTGAGGCTGCTCATCTCTGGGTTGTCTGTCCATCACCTAAACAATTAATTTCCTATATTAAATTCCCTGCTTGAAATATCATGTGGTTTCTGGTTTCCTAAACTGAACTCTGGACTCCTTAACCTCTCCAAAGAGTTTTCTCAAGAACGACCCAAACCTGTATTATCAGGGTCATTAAAAGAACTAAAGGTTATGAGTGTAAACAGCACAAGTAAATACTCGAAAACACTCTCCCTGTCCTCACATGGAGAATCTAAGGGCAAGCTGCAAAGTAGTAAAGATTTAGGAGATCTTCAGTTAAAAATTCCAGGTCCATCTGAAGCTTTCCTCAGAAAGAATCCAAAAGATCTATATTCTCCCTGAGTTCATTAAAAGAAATCCCTTAAGCTAGTTTTCTTTTTCCTCCCAATCTCTTTTCCTTTCATGATAGAACCTTTCCCCCACGTCAAATAGAACCTGGAATTTTCCGTCACAGAGTCATCATCTTACTCTCAATCCACTGCCCCAAGGATTCTCCCAAACACGCAGCCGGGTAAAGAATTTTCCAGCACAGGGGGCGCCTGGATGGCTCAGTGGGTTAAAGCCTCTGCCTTCAGCTCAGGTCATGATCCCAGGGTCCTGGGATCGAGCCCCACATCCGGCTCTCTGCTCCTCGGAGAGCCTGCTTTCTCCTCTCTCTCTGCCTACTTGTGATCTCTGTCTGTCGGATAAATAGGTAAAATCTAAAAAAAAAAGAAAAAAAAAAAAAAAAAAAAGAATTTTCCAGCACAGGGTGAGCCTCTGTCTCTGGAGGAGGGGGAAAAAAAAAAGCCTGAATTCACAGAATGGTTCTTATTCTTGGTACTAATCTCAGCCTGGGAACCAGCAAAAAAACACACAGGCCAGGGCCCACAGCTAGCACAAAGTAAACCAGCCCTGTTCCTGTCCTTTGGGGCTGTTCTCTCAATGTATATTCTAATTATGTTTCATTGAGACTTACCAAGAACAAAAACAACTTCAAATATTGGCCATTTTTTTCCTACTTCAATTAAAAAATACAGTTTTTGTTTTGGGTGGTTTTCATTACCCAAACGTTAATACTCTTTATTTTCCCCTGTATCAAAAAATTCAAGGCTCCTCAACACTCTGCAGACACAGCAGCAAGACTCCCTGGATCAATTCAATACTATAAAACAGAGCAGCAAAAAGGTCAAACCTCAAGCTCCTATAGAAGCAGCAGCATTCTACAGAACACAGCATTCTACGGTTCACTGTGTGTCATATCTGTGTTCCAATTCTGTTCACAGAAAGCAACAAAACACCATAATCCTTTTCCCCTGGATTCTAATCCCGCAGACTGGAATAGGCCGGCTTCTACATGCATGTGCGTTATTATTTTGTGCTGAGGCTGGAGCCGGATGCCTGGTGCCCCCCCCCCCCCAGGCAGGGCTATGCCAGCTTCAGAAGGCCCTGAACCACACCTTCAGTTCTCCCCAGTGGTACTCCTGTGCCGTATAACACTCTCAAATGATACAGAAATTAGCCTCAGTTTCCAAAGACGGACAGCAGAAAGCCATTCAGCTAAGTACAACTTGGCAGCCACTGAGGTCAGAATATAAAGTAGAGTTCACCAGGCAGAGCACACAGGGTGTCAAAAAAATGAATTGCTAAAAGCTGCCTTATAGATTTAAGGTTTTTGTTCTTTTTAAATAGGATAATGAGGCCAAGGAATGCAGAGCAAAGAACTTCCTGGAATAAAGCAAAGTCTGTCCTGGCCTCCAGGCTCCCCAGCATGTACCCAAGCACACAGCCCTCACTGCCTTTTCTGTGCGAGTCCCAATCACAGGTCACGTTCCCCACCAAACACAGGAAAATTCTGGCCCACTTGGAGAAAACGTTTTGATAACAAAATTGCCACCCAAATCAACTTCAAGAGCTTAAAGAGCTCAAGTTCTATGTACTGAATTTCAAACATTTTGCCAGGCATCTTAAAACAGTTCCCAGATTTAGGTGTAACCTTAGGTTGTGAAGGTCAGTGATCAAATATAAAACCACTTCTTTTCATGGATTTAAGACAGACATCCGAATACCATATCTTCGACGGGTACCAAGACCTGAGCTCGGGGCTCTAGGGCACTGGTTCATAAACCTGACTGCATACTGGATTCCCTTTTCAGAAGCTTTAAAAACAAAAATGAAACAAAAACTTGCTGCCTGGGTCCTATCATCACAGACTTTCATTTAATGAGGGATATGGCCTGGATTTCAGTATTTTAAAATACTGATGGTGATGCTACTAGACAACAAAATTTAAGAACCACTGTCGCAGGGAAAAAAAAAAGAAATAAAGTAGAAACAACCCAAAAGCCCATCAAATGATGATTAGATAAATTAAATGGGGGCTATCCATACAGTAGAATAGTACTCTGCAACAGAAAGAAATGGAAGTCCTGTGCTACTCACCCTATGGTCAGACTTTATAAACACCACATCAACTGAAAGAAGCCAATCACACAAAATGGTATGATTTCATTTATACGCTACATCCAGAATAGACAACTCCACTGAGACTGGGATGGCTGCATGGCTACCCAGGACTAAGGGAGCTGAAGGGAAATGGGGAGTTACTGCTAGTAAGTACGGGCTTTCTTTTTGGGGTGATGAGAATGTTCTAAAATTGACTGTAATGATGGCTCCACAACTCTGAACACACTAAGTCACTGAATTTGATATAATGGGTGGGATATATGGCATGGGAATATATGGCATGGGAATTCTAGCTCAAAAAGCTGTTCTTAGAAAAAAGGACACAAATATAAATTCTATGCCCAGCTTTCAATGAATTTACAATCTAGGTGTACAGGGGAAAAAAAAAGATACACAGTCAAGACAAGTATCAGAGATTTTTAAAAACAATTTAATAAAATTGCTAACAGAAAATAAGAAGTCTAAGGTTCAGGCTTCAAAGCCAAAATGATTTGATTTTTTCTTTTCTTACACAATCATTCTTCTCTTACTTTAAAAAAAAAAAAAAAAAGGCAATGGAGAGCTCAGATCTGGCCACTATACTGTTACTCGGGCCCCAAAGTCTCCATTTCCAGGCTTGTGAGAAAGGAGTGACTACTTAGCTTTGCCAAGAAATTTTTTTTAATCCTTCAGAACACAGGCTCTTGATGGGATTATAATGAGTTTCAAGAGTCAGTTATCAACAGGGCCATTGAAAGATGGACTTGGTGCTCTAAATCCTTCTCATGTCCTAGATTTCTCTTTACCACCAGAGTTTAGGCCAAATAAATTTACATGCTTACACACACAGCAACTCTCAAATATGAGGCTTTATGACACACATGTATTATATGCCACATGCAACAAAGATGATTGGTTAAAAGTGCCTTTTACACTAAGAGTTCCTAAAATCCCTCTGTCTCTGACAAATAAAAAAAAAAAAAAAAAAAAAAGGGACGCCTGGGTGGCTCAGTTGGTTAAGAGTTCCTAAAATCCTTCTTTTTCTTCTTCTTCTTCTTTTTTTTATAAAGTAATCTCTACACCCAACGTAGGGCTCAAACTCATGACCCTGAGATCCAGAGTTGTATGCTCTACCAACTGAACCAGCCAGGTGCCCTCTTCCTAAAATTCTTAATAGTTAAAAAGTTTATTGTAGCAGGGGCTGACACATAGAAAACTCCCAACTCTAGGCAGAATGGAATTCTGTTTAGCAGTCTTGATTTTTTGAGGGGGGTGTCCATGTGTATGGGAGGTTAGTGTAAGAACACCATTTCCCCCCTCCAATACTGTTTGGGAATGTAAATATTATTAACTTGAATGTATTTTTGCTTTTGTTTCTAGAAAACACACCGTTATCAACTGAGCAATTGAAAAAGCCTTGGCCTTTATCTTAGAGCTGTTTAAATAAATGTTCGTTGGAGCATATTTAAAAGCAGGTGACAGGGGTGCCTGGGTGGCCCAGTGGGTTAAGCTCTGCCTTTGGCTCAGGTCATGATTTCAGAGTCCTGGGATCCAGCCCTACATCAGGCTCTCTGCTCAGCAGGGAGCCTGCTCCCTGCCACCCCAACCCCCCCTCCCCCACCCCCCGCCTGCTGCTTTGCCTACTTGTGATCTCTCTGTCAAATAAATAAAATCTTTAAAAAAAAATAAAAAATTAAAAAATAAAAGCAGATGGCAGTGAAATCTTAGTAACCCCTAGAAATACCAAAATATAAATTCTTTTCTCCATATTACAGTAAATTTAGAACAAACATACAGCCAAAGGTAAAGGAGGCAGGTCAAATACTGCATTTAGGAAACCTCTCTTCCTGTATCTTGGTGTGCATTAGTTTTCAGCAAACCTTCAAAGTGGCTGGACCAGGATCCACTGGATGGCAGCATCCTTAATTAGACGAATAAGACAATAATTCTGAAAGTGCCTTGTTTAACAATAAAGACTAAGAAATAATATATTTAATTTTGAAATGTACTAACTCAAAACCCTAATTTAAGCTTCAACAAGACAGACTGGAGCTCTTATGCTTGCTTCAATTCAGAAATGCCCCAAACAAGGGACCCGTGATTAATTTGAGCCAACAAGTTTCTCCTAGCCATTTTCCCCATCCTACCCAGTGACCTTCAACCTAGCTTAACCCAGTCTCTCCCACTCTTTGCCATACTATGTATCTTCACTATCAAATTTATTTTTGACTACTACTTGAAAACAAAAAAAGCCAATGGAACAGGAGAAGATACCAACTAACTAGACAAATAAAAGTAAACAAGGAGTCTGGAGCTAACAGATTTAGTTAAGAAAAAGGAAAATGGTCCCTGAAAAATGTGATGTCCTAACCCCAATCCTATCCTTAATCTGGAACACTGCTGAGATCCCAGAATTTCTGGGTGGTCCTGGGGTGCCTGGCTGGTTCACTATAGCATGAGACTCTTGAGCTCGGAGTTGTGAGTTTGCCCCAAGCTGAGCACAGAGATTACTTAAAAATAAATCTACAAAAAAACAACAAGAACAACAAAAAAAGGTCTTGCCTCTCCAAATTAACCCCCTCTAGGTCTGTACCTTCCTTAAAAGGCCCCCATGCAGCAATTCCATTGACAGGCTATACTTACTCTCACTGTATTTAAGGTCCACCTCCCGCAATACACACACAGTTACTGAATTTCTTGTTAAGTGGAAAAGGTGCAGAGATTTCAATTCCTGCCTTTCCTCCCCCAGGTTTTTCTCAATTAATCCACTTTTTAAATAAAGTATGAGCTTTTCCTTCTGTTTAAAGTTTAAGGGGTCCCGGTCTACTTTGGAAGTGGTGAGTGAAAGCCACTGGAGTCAGACTATGTAGGTTTGATTCCCATCTTCACCACTCAATAATAGTTGGGGCACCTCTGGTGTCTGGCTGGCTCAGTCAGAGGAGCGTGTGACTCTTGATTTCGGGATCATGAGTTTGAGCTCCACACTGGGAGCAGGGATTATGTAAATAAACAGATGAATTAATTAAAAAAAAATAGTTGGGGCACTTTAAGCAGAACTCTTGGCCCCTTTACTCCCCCTGGAAACTTGAGATAATAGTATTTCCCATGGGGTTAGTGCGGAATTATGCATGTGAAGCAATTATTGCAGCGCCTGGCACGCAAGAAGTGCCCAATAATTCATCTAGTATCATCTTAATGCCAAATTCTTCCTGCACCCAGGAGTTTGCACTGAAAAATTAACCCCAGATCAAGGAAAAATTAAAGAGAAAATATTATTTATGCAAAACCCCCTTTAAATTATGCCCAGCCAGTAGGTAGGCAATTCCCAGAAAAATGTGCTTACTACAGTCCACAGAGGGGTTCTTTGCTATATAGCTCTGAAGGATATTTCATCCTGAATTAAAGTAAGTATTGGAAAAAAATAGTCTATTTGGCTTTCAACTCATCCCGGTAATCTTAAAGACAGGAGTTCTTTTTCCCAGCATTGTTTATAAAAACCCAAATTAACGAGAAAGAAAGATGCCAAAAGGCCCAAGTTATTTTTAATGCAGAAAAACTATTGTGAATTGTGTATTTATTCTCCAACAATAATCTCTCAAAAGTCTAAAAAGTCGTATCTAAAAAAGTCAAGGGGTTCTTTGCTCAACATTCATTCAGATGAGAGGCCTGTCCTATTTGCCTTTTTAAAAATAATCTTATCAGTCTAGTCCAAGATCAACTTCATCCCTTCTTATATAAAAGTACTTTAACTCCCCAAGACACCCTTGGAAAGGGTAATGAATGGCTCCTTCCACTTAACGGAAATACAAAATCTAAGGCTCTCCTTATTACCCTGTTTATCAACATCCCCTCCACACACAGGATGAGAAATTGTATCCTAGTACCACCTCACACCTGCAATTTCTTTGACAGAGGTCAGAATCCATTTTGACTCTACTGAAATCTTTCCAGAATACCAAAAATTATTTAAGATCAAACAGATTCTAAATTTTACTCCATTTTTTTCATAGCCTTCAGATATGAAAATTAGGTCTGATTAAAGGTGGAAAAGTAGTTACCTTATCAAATAAAACTGTATATTCACTTTTGAAAGAGAAAGCAGTACACATGCTTTTTGGCTTTTGTATGCATGGAATATTAAATTACACAGTTCTTTACCATTATTATTTAAAAATAACAGAGGACTCTAGGCCACAGTTTAGAAAAGCAAAAGTCCATTAGCCTCATATCCTTTGATCATGAAGATTACTATATAAATGGCTACATAGCTATATGAATTACTGTTGAATAACAGCTAAATTGAAAGGCACAATTTACTTCATACTAGTGGGAGCTGGGGGAATACAATCCTAATCATTACTGGGAGAAAGTTCAAGGTAAACAGCTTCAAACAACAAAAAAGCACAATTAATAAATTATCAATAACTTAAAATCTTCCTTTAAATCTTCAAGATAAGTGTAAAACTTCACATATAAGAATATAAACATACGCTCTTAATGTACTTTTTACGTTACACATTTCCTTGAACCAAGTATTTTTTCCTAAGGAACCAATTACCAAAAAAAAGTTGTAAGTATAAATATCTACTCCTTTAAAAGTCCCTACAAAGTATGAACAGAAACTTGTTTTCCCTTTTACAACAATTTGCAAAACTTGTTAGGAAAACACTATGAAACACAAGTGTCCCTTCCCTCTGCCTTAGCGAAAGAAGCAACATGCTAAGAAATAGAGGCAAATTCTAAAAAATCAGAAAAACTATATAAAGCATCCAAGGAAGAAATAGTTTATGATAGCAGAAATTTTACTAACAACCTAAAATCAAGAGAAATTCTAATCTACACTCGAAACTCTTACCCTTGACAGCACAGAACAGAATATCCTGCTTTACACATTTTGTAATTGCAATTCTGAAACGTTAAATCCAAAGACAAAGCCGCCCTGGGGAAAATAACAATTGCGCAACAGATCAACAGCTCCAACTTGTCCCTTGGCCCAGGCGCAGCAAGGTTTGCACGCTATAAAGCAGGAAAGGGCCAACCAAGGGCCGCCGTGACAGCCAACCGGCCACTCTCCTGGAGGCCGAGTCCACGCACGCGGCGTGCGCCACTGGGAGGCACCCGCGCGGGGATCGAGCTGGGGCGCGGCGGCATCCGACCTCAGTCCGCCGCCTAGCCCCCCATTTACCGGCCGGTTGCCAGGGGATGACCTCGGATCTGCGAGTCCGAACTTTTCCCACTACGGGAGCAAGCGCGCAAGGCCGCTACCTCCGCCGCACGTCGGGGCATCGGAGCGCGCCCGGCACTTCGTGACCTCTTCCCTCCCCCACCCTGGGGGCTGGGCTTTCTCGCTAGGCTGCCTACCAGCGATCCGACGGACAGACCCACGGATTACTCTGGAAAGGAGCGCCCTTAGACGGCTCAGCGGGTGGGCGCGCAGCGCCACAGTCCGCTCCCACGGAGGCCGTGGATGGGGGCGGCGGCAGAGCAGCGGCTCCGGGTCCCAGTCCGGAGGAGACCTCAACTCCCCCGAGAGCGGCCCCGTGACTAGGCACATTTTTGCCGGCTCCGAGGCGGAGGAGCAGCGCAGCCCCGGAAGGGCCGGGCCGCGCCGGCTCAGACCGCCAGCGTCCGCCCCCTCTTCCAGCCCGGCCACCTCTAACTCCGGGGGCCAGCTGGGGCTTCGGAGTCCAAGCTCCGGAAGCTGGGGACGCCGCTAGCGAGGCCCCTACGCCCGAGAACGAAGACTCCAGACCTCCACCCAGCCACCCTCGGGGGCCGCACCCCCCAGTCCCCTCGCTGCCCCTTGGGTCCTCGTGGCCCTCGGAGGTCTCGCTCCTCTCCCGACCCGGGCCCGGCGCAAACGCAGCGGCTCTACTGTGCGGCCGCTGCAGTCCGGACTCCGGTGGTAGACGGGAGACAGGAGACACTGGCCGCGGCTGTCCCCGCCCGGTCCGCGGCTCCCTCACTCCCCTGAGCCCGTCCGGGCACCACCGCGGGGCTCCCAGGGTCTGGGCAGCACCTGCTGGGACGGCAGTCCGGGCGGCGGCAGCTCCAAGTCCATCATGATGAGCTGGTGACCGTGCTCTGGCGCTCCCCGACGGCGGCTGTGTCCCAGCTGCCGAGGCGCGGCGCGGACCGGGCGGCGGCGGCGGCGGCGGCAGCAGCGGCGGTAGCTCCTCCAGGATCCCCAGCACTAGCTAGTCCGCGACACGGCCGGAGTGGCCAGCCGGGATGTTGCCCCGCTCCGCCTCCCGCCCTCGAGGGCGGGGCGAGAGCCCGGGTCCTTCCTTCACGGGCTGGCGGCGTGGGCCGAGCTTCCGAAAATCCCCCACCCCCGCTCCAGCTGACGCAAGAAGCTCGCTGGCCGCGGGTGGCGAGGGGTGGGGGTGTCCCTGGGGTCGGCCGTGGGTGGCCGTGGGCAGCCATTGATGGCCACGGGCGGGCGGGGTGCCCGGAAGAGGGTTGTATTAGCTCCCCGCTCCCTGAGCTCAACCCCTCCGCCCCCTCCCCCCCCCCCCTGCAAATAAAACCTAGGCTCTCGGACAGCAAGATTAAGAGTTGTTTGTCGAAGGTCGCTCGGATTTGGGCGCTTTGAAACAGTTTAAACAGTTGGAACAAACACGCCTGGAGACCCGGCAGAGGCGCCGGTATCCGAGTTGCGCCTCCCTGATTTGGAAACGCAGAACCTTGCCGGGCTTTATCTCACTGCACAGCTCGAGAGTGGCGCCAGCCCTGGGGGCGGGGGCTAGAGGTTTGGACCCAGGCCCTGCGCAACGCGGACTGCCCTCTCGCCCTCTGTCCCCTGCGGGGTGGGGGCCAGCGGGACTCGCCCAGGGCTGATACGGACCGCGCGGGGATCTCGTGCTCGCAGTCACCCTGAACGCCCTCTGCTTACTCCCCCGCCCTGGCACTCGCGCTAGGCCCAGATCGCCAAGGGCAAACGGGGAGGTCTCTTTGGGTCGGGAGAGTGGTCAGTATGGCCCAGCTAGAGTTTTCTCTTCCACCAGAGCGCACACACCACACTACAGATGGCGTCTTTGAACACTGCAGTACTACAACATGCCGTAATCTCTACAAGTTTCTTTTCACGTACCCAGAGTAAAATTTTTAAAATAAGAATAAGAAAGACCAAATTATAAAATAGTTTGGGTAGTATGGATCTGTCCTGTAAAAACATACGGTGTCTAGGAAAAAAATAGTTCAACAAAACAGTAGTAACATCACGAATGACTTTTACCTTTCCCGTTACTTTAAATTTTAAGTCTACAATGAATACGTATTACCTTTTACATTAAAAGCGATTATTTTAAAAAGTAATCATTGTCCACGAAAAAACTTCAATTATTTGAAAACAGGAATATTGTGAAATTTTAAGAGAGAAGAGATAAATGGTTTTGTTTTCTCTTATGCATCAACAATATTTCTAATTCTTTAACAACAATCTTTAAGTTTCTAGTTTCTTGGAATTATGCAAAGCTGGGTGAAGTAGACAG